TCCCCTCTCCCTCCCCTCCCCCCTCTTCCCTCCCTCTCAGGGCCAACCCCCATGCTCTCACCTCAGTCCCTTTGTCTTCTGAGACCACTCCCCTCCCCCCACCTCCTTGTTGACCCTTGACTAGGAAGAGAGCTCTTTGTCCTTAAGAATTAATTACCATGTGGTATTATTTAACTTTTTCTTTTGTTCCAGTTGTTGGCAAGCAGAAATTTTCATATAACTACTCTGGCTGAAGAATTAATATTTCGATACTTGTCAGACGAACTGTCTGACAGAAAGAGAATTTATGACGAAGAAATGACGGAGCTTTCAAAGTAAGTCCCCATGCTCCAGGTACTTGGTGTTTTCAGGCTAAAGAAGAAAATCCTTGTTAATCTCACGGCTTTATCTCATTTTTTCCCCCTGCCTTTGGCAGAGAAATTAGCCTCCAAAAAAATTAAGTACAAAGAGTTTATGTGAATTTAATTGAAAAAGTTTGTAAGAAATATTTCAAAAGTGTGTTTTGACAATATTATATGGTTGCTTTTTGTATCTAAATAAGCAATGCTGAATTTTTCAGAATTGAAAAGGCACAGGACATAGAAGGGAAAAAGGGATTACCACTGAAAATAGGCTTGACCGTTATTTTTTCTCTTCTAAAGTGATTAAAGTGTTGTGTTGTAGTGACCTGTAAGTATTGAGACCTTATCATTCTTCTACTCTTTTTTTATTTAGAACTCATTACCTTTGATGGCTTTTATCAGAATTTTTTTCTTATTTACTTTTCTTGAGATATAATTGACATCTCACATTGTATTAGTTTCAGGTATACAACATAATGAGTTGATATTTGTGTATATTGTGAAATGATCACCACAGTAAGTCTAGTTAACATGTCTCCGGACATAGTTACAAAAATTTTTTTCTTGTGATGAGAGCTTTTGAAGATGTACTCTCTTAGCAACTTTTTTTTTTTTTTTTTTTTTTGCGGTATGCGGGCCTCTCCCTGTTGTGGCCTCTCCTGTTGCGGAGCACAGGCTCCGGACGCGCAGGCTCAGCGGCATGTGGGATCTTCCCGGACCGGGGCACGAACCCGCGTCCCCTGCAGCGGCAGGTGGACTCTCAACCACTGCGCCACCAGGGAAGCCCTTAGCAACTTTTAAATATGCAGCACAGTATTATTAACAATAGTCACCGTGCTGCACCTTACATCCCTAGGACTTATTTATTTCATGACCGGAACCTTGTGCTGTTTGACCCCCTTCACCCATTTCACCTGCCCCTTCCTCTGGTAACCCTGTCTGTTCTCTGTATCTATGAGCTTGGTTTTGTTTATTTTTAGATTCCACATATAAATGAGGCCCTACAGTGGTATTTGTCTTTCTCTGTCTGACTTATTTCAGGTAGCACAGTGTCCTCAAGGTCATCAGAATGTTTTTATAGTGATCATAAGCGTGGTCTCAGATTAAATAAGAGGGCTTGGCAGGGAACCTGGGTCAGCTGAGAACTTTCTCAAGCTGTGGCCCTTGGCTTTCTTTTCCCACCTAAGCCTGAGGCAAACCTGAGGGGTTTGTAAATGAGAGAGCTGAGGTTGGCTAGCTTCTGCTGTTTCACAGTGACTCTCACTCCCTTCTGTTTCTAACAGCTCCACCTCTAAGTTAACATTTCCCTCACCCCGCAGTCTGACCAGGGATGTGCCCACCTTCGTGTGTGCCATGGCCTTCCCCACCGTGTCCTGTCCGCTCCACGTCTTTGAGCCCCGCTATCGGCTTATGATAAGAAGATGCGTGGAAACTGGCACCAAACGGTTTGGCATGTGTTTATCTGCAGAGCACGCAGGGTAAGGGTTCTAATTAAATGTATCATTTGTCATATATTTTTCTTGAAGAACAGCTTAAGGTGATGTTGAAAACCTCTAGTGTCTCCTATTACGTAACAAAGTATAAGTTCAGGGCCAGCCACAATGTGGTCCCACCCTTCGTTTCTAGCCTCATCTCCTATTCCTTCCTTTGGAATATCATACCTACCAGTCCATTGCCACGTTGTTTGCCCTTCTCTAAAAAAAGTTCATGTTTTCGTGCCTCCATGCTTCCCTCTGTCTGTAATTCTCTTCTAGCTCACCATTATACAAACAAATCTGGTCCAACTTTTTAGGTCTAAAAAAATTGTTACATCCTCCACGAAACCTTTATCCACATAGCCAGAAAACTTTCAGTCTTATAAAAACCCATGGTGCTTGTTTTTTTTGTTGTTTTTTTTAAATAAATTTATTTATTTATTTTTGGCTGCGCTGGGTCTTCGTTTCTGTGCGAGGGCTTTCTCCAGTTGCGGCGAGTGAAGGCCACTCTTCATCACGGTGCGCGGGTTTTATTTTTTTTAATTAATTTATTTTGGCTGTGCTGGGTCTTCGTTTCTGCGCGAGGGCTTTCTCCAGTTGTGGCAAGCGGGGGCCACTCTTTATCACGGTGCGCGGGCCTCTGACTATCGCAGCCTCTCTTCTTGCGGAGCACAGGCTCCAGACGTGCAGGCTCAGTAGTTGTGGCTCATGGGCCTAGTTGCTCCGTGGCATGTGGGATCCTCCCAGACCAGGGCTTGAACCCCTGTCCCCTGCATTAGCAAGCAGATTCTCAACCACTGCACCACCAGGGAAGCCCTGCTTGGTTTTCTGTCTCTTTATGTTTCTCATCATTTTTCTAGGGAAGATGTTCCAAATCAGCAGGCAGCTCCCCTCCAAAGACTGCTCTGGGGACCCCGGGTCCTGCCCAAGTCCTGGCTTCCTGATCCTCTAGGGCTTTGTCGTTGCTGCATGGTCCTGATGAGGTCATTACATCCAAGTTCTAGCTGGTGGAAGAGGTCCTGGTGCTTGTAGGGGATCCTGGAGAAAAGGGGCCCATATCAGTCCCTGCTGCTCACACCTCCGGCAGAGGAGGCTGGGAAATGTAGTCCATCCAGGTGCCCAGGAGTTAGGGGAGAATGGATGTTTAGGGCTATCTGCTAGTTTCCACCGTATATACCTAGGAACATATCTTTCTAAAGGTGTATGTAGAACATTTATGGAGAAAATTCTACAACTTTATTGAAAGATACTCAAGAATGGACAGAGATACTGTGTTCATGGGTACATAGACTCAGTGTCATAGAGAGATGTTCTTTTTTTTTTTTTCATCTTTATCGGAGTATAATTGCTTTACAATGGTGTGTTAGTTTCTGCTTCACAACAAAATGAATCAGTTATACATATACATATATTCCCATATCTCTTCCCTCTTGCGTCTCCCTCCCTCCCACCCTCCCTATCCCACCCCTCTAGGTGGTCACAAAGCACCGAGCTGATCTCCCTGTGCTATGCGGCTGCTTCCCACTACCTATCTCTTTTACATTTGGTAGTGTATATATGTCCATGCCACTCTCTCACTTTGTCCCAGCTTACCCTTCCCCCTCCCCATATCCTCAAGTCCATTCTCTAGTAGGTCTGTGTCTTTATTCCTGTCTTACCCCTAGGTTCTTCATGACATTTTTTTTCTTAGATTCCATATATATGTGTTAGCATACGGTATTTGTCTTTCTCTTTCTGACTTATTTCACTCTGTGTGACAGACTCTAGGTCTATCCACCTCACTACAAATAACTCAATTTCGTTTCTTTTTATGGCTGAGAGATGTTCTTTTTACCCCAGTTGGTCTATAAATCCAAAGTAGATCTGGTCAGCATCACAAGAGGGTTTTTCATGGAATTGCTCAAGCTGATTTTAGAATCGTTATGTTAAAGACCAAGACCATGGTAGTTTTGAAAAACCAGCTGAGAAAGATGGGAGAACATCCCTGCAATAAACTTAGAGGTCCAAGTAAGTAGACCCTTGAAACAGACTATGGAGATAAGCAGATCCACTCATATTTGGACTTCAAATTTATATGTAATTTTGTGAGAAAAGGCAAAACTCCTCAATAAAAGGCACTCAGACAATTAGTGGGTAGTCCAAATGGGAAAAAAAAAAATCTTTTCTCTGCCTTATACTATACACAAAAAGTAACACGTTTACATTCCCAATGTGAGATGTGAAAAACAAAATATTAAAACATTTAAGAGAGAATATTGGGGACTATCTTTACAATTGGCAACAGGGAGAGATTCTTTTCTTACACAAGATGCCGAGAGCATTAGCGAAGAGAAAGAGATGAATGCATTTGAATTATTAAGATTTGATTCATCACAATCAGCATTAGCAAAGTGAAAAAACAGTTTCATAAGTTCCACTTCCACTGGGAATATGGAACATTCAGAAAAGATTTACTACAGATTAGCTACTGAACCTAAGTTTCCTGAACCCGTCAAAGGGCAGGTTGCTCAGGGTAACCGAGGAGAGACAGGTTCTCCAGGTTGAGAGCAGACAGGATCCCTGGCTCACCCATGGCCAAACCCAGGAGAGGGGGAGAATTCAGCTGATTTTTTGGACAAATTTCTAATGGCCTCATGTGGGCAAACATGAGAGCCTCGATCCCCTGGATGCTGCAGAGTTGGAAGCCAAGTTCCTGGCCACAGACCAGGTGAGATGTTTATCGCAGGAACAGGTTTTGTGGCTGAGACCGACTTTGGAGGAGCTGACATGTGAGCTGGGGCACCGAGGCCTCCTTTGAAGGGGCTCTTCAGGGGGCTCCATGTGCACTGCAGCTGTGGATAAGACAGACCCTTAGGAAGGAGGGTGCTTTACTGGCGATCCAGACAGAGGTGTTATAACTCTATGCAGGTGTGTAACTTGGGAGTCCTCCCTCAGCATTAGTTCGGAGGTGTGTAGTGCAGTTTGTTCATTCACTTTAGCATCAAATACCCTTGGGTTCAGATCTCGGCTCTGAATCTTCCTGTGGCCCTAGATCAGTTTAATTTTTCTGAGCCTCCATGTTTCTGTGAGGCTTGGATGAATACGTATGATAAATTGCTCTGTGTAATGCTTGACACATCGTAGGCACGATCGATACCATCAGGACGTGGGGGACAGTGGGAACTGTGACTGGGTAGGGTCACGCGGGAGAGCTTTGGAGTGAGGATACAGTGTCCCAGGCAGCCCCAGTGTGTTGGGGACACGTGGAGGATGCATGTGGTGAAGGGAGGGACCGGTCAGGGAAGGCGAGAGTGCTGGGTCAGCGACAGGTCAGCTGGGGTGTGACAGCCTCACGTGTGACTACACTGGGCTCATGTCGGTAGAACGGTGGGGTCTTGAGGTGTGATGGGGAGACAGGGAGATGAAGACAGTGCTTTTTTAAAAAAATTATTTATTTATTTATTTTTGGCTGCGTTGGGTCTTCATTGCTGCACGTGGGCTTTCACTAGTTGCAGAGAGCGGGGCCCACTCTTCGTTGCAGTGTGTGGGCTTCTCATTGTGGTGGCTTCTCCTGTGGAGGGTGGGCTCTAGGCACACGGGCTTCAGTAGTTGTGGCACGTGGGCTCAGTAGTTGTGGCTCACGGGCTCTAGAGCACAGGCTCAGTAGTTGTGGCGCACGGGCTTAGTTGCTCTGCGGCATGTGGGATCTTCCGGGACCAGGGCCTGGACCCATGCTCCCTGCGCCACCAGGGAAGTCCCAAAGACGGTGCTTGTAGATGCCTTTCTGCGGCAGTTCGTTGGGGAGGGAAACAGCATGGAGGAGGGGAGCAGAGCCTGAGGGGTGGGGGGTGGGGACAGTGTGCTAGTGCCCTGGCCAAGGGGGCTGGGGGGCCACATTTCAGGTCCACCTGTCCCCACCCCACTGGTTAGAAGGGCTGAGGCACAAGTACCCCGTCCCCGCTGGCCCTTCTCTTGCCATGTCGCACATCAGTGTGTTTCTCATCGGCTGCTGGTCTCTTGGAGGAAATAACCTTGCTGCTCTGGCATGGAGATGCTGTTTGTTTCGTTTGGTTTTTTATTCCTTTAAGACCCAGGATTGCATCTGGGGAGAACTGAAGACCCTCCTGCATTTTTAAAGTCAGGGTTGTTTCTCCCGCCTGTTCCTCCAGGATCTCAGAGTACGGCTGCATGCTGGAGATTAAGGGCGTCAGGACGTTTCCCGACGGCAGCTCCGTCGTGGATGCCGTTGGGATTAGCCGCTTCCGGGTTTTGAGCCACTGTCACGGAGACGGCTACGACACGGCAGACACCGAGTATCTGGAAGATGAAAAGCTGAGTAGTCACACCCACGGTGCCAGCTCTGTCCCCTTGCCAGCTGCTGTTTCTGGTCATCTGTGGGCACCGGCCTTGTGGGGCAGAGGGCAGAGTGCGGCGAGGTGAGCTCTGAGGTCTTGGGCGCAGGGAGCTGAGTGTGAGGAAGACACCGAGTGCGGTGGCTCTCAGGGTCCCTCTTCTATGCTGATAACAAATCTGATGAGAGGGTTTATTGACTACCATTGTGGATGATGACTTTTGGGGGTGTATGTATATATTTTAAAATGGTAGCTTAAATAGCTACAACATGAAATAATTTTAGTGTTTTTTAAAAGAAAACTCTCCACTACATATGAATATTTGATTTGTATTATATAAATCAAATTGAGAATGGTCATGTGTGTTATAATCTGATTCCTCACTTTACCTCAATTTTCATAAATGCTGTTGTTTTATAACCAGGAAGGACCTTAGTGCTTTTTTCCCATTTTATAGATGGGAAAATTCTCTCCTAAAGCGGCTGAGCAGCTGGCCGAAGCTTCTACACAAGAGGCAGTGATGAAGCCAGAACAAACCTGGGTCCCCTGGTCCTCAGCCCAGAGCTATTCGTGCTCAGCGTCCCTACCTAGGACTGAGCCTTGCTGGGCAGTGAGAGGGGCCCTGGGCAGCAGGGCGCATCGTCTGAAGCCTAAGGGTCCTCCCCCTGGCATCAGGCTCAGGCCGTAACATATCGCTGTCGCTGTAACATATCTATTGGAATATAATGTGGTGACATGGAATAAAATTTTTAAAATGTTATAACTCTTTGACTTGGTAATTCTACTTCTGAGAAACTATCCTGAGGAAATGACAGCCCCTTCTGTCACACACACGCAAAACCACTTTTGCGTAAATACTTATATTACTTGTATTATTTTAAAATGTATCTTATGTGAATGGTTGAGTAGATTATGGCACATCTCCGATATAGGATTGCATGTACTCATTAAAAATGATTCATGACAACATCGGGTGCGTGCTTATATTAAGAGAAACATCTGGATGTTACAGACGGACAGACAGACAGGGTAGATAGAGGCTCCACTGTGTAAAAAAAAGTGAAGATTTCTATGTTGAGCATATATCGTGTTTATAAAACACTAATGAATTACTGAAGTGTTAGATGCCAGGAATCCGCTCAGCAGACGTGGCCGCAGTCACTGTGTGATGGACACGCGTGTGATAATGAATTGTTGAAAAGGTTGTCTCTTCTCCTTGATCAGGTGGAAGGTCCAGGGTATGAAGAACTCACCGCACTGCATGATTCAGTTTATCAGCAGCCTGTGTCCTGGTTTGCTTCACTTCAGGATCACATGAAAGAACAGATTTTAAGCCATTTTGGGTTAATGCCCGACAGAGAACCTGAGCCTCAGGTATACTGTCCTTTCTTCTTTTATCATGCTGTTATTTTCTGCCGTAATGTGCTAAGACACATTATGCTGAGGGAAAACTTGGCAGTACCTGCTATGCTATTTACTCCATTATGGTCGCTTGTGAACCAGTTCATTTATCAGCAGCCCAAAGAAGCACCTGGTATAGTAGCATGTGCCTTTTGGAGCAAAGCGATAAATGCTTTCTGATTAATACTACACGAAGGTAATTTCTTTTCTCTCAGAAATCAGTTTATTCTGATCGGCTGTCAGCTTCTGTATTTCTCCCACCAACATGGGAAGATTTAGTAGTAATTTTAGTATATTGGCAGGAACACTTTATGTTTTGCGTGGACGATTGCCCTGCACCCAATGAACAGGCGTTGGATAAATGAAGAGACAATCCCCAACTCTCGTTAACTCGGAAGCTTTCCTAGCCCTCGATCCCATCATCGTGGGCTTTCTTCCTGCTCCCAGGACTGCTCTCAGTGACACTGGTTCTTTTAAGTGATGAACGGGCTTCAGGTCTGTGAAGCATTTCTAAGTGCAGATGACTCCACTTCTCCGCATTTGGGTGGCACAGCCAGGTGGGGATGGTGTGCGCTTGTGACTGAGAGTGTATAGTTCGTCCTACTGTGCCCGCTCACCTGTCCTGGAGAAAGGGGGGCAGGGCCACGTTTCAGCAGGTTTAGGGTCAGATGAAATGTCTTTTGTATCTTTTCCATCCATTTTTATGTTCTTTTTCTGTCTCTTGGGGGCTTCTGTCTTTTACCCCCACTTGAGTTCTGTCTTTTCCAAACCCAAGACAGTGCTTTCCGCCTCAGCTCACCTCCGAGTCCTTTCTCACCCTCCAGTCTGTTATAACCCCTCCTCCTCTGTTCTGTAGCCTGGATTCAGAAAGCAAGGTGATTAGACTAACTTGATTGAGGTATGAATCATTCTTTTTTCTAGGAGTTTTTGCTTATTAACCCCAATTAATCTCTAATTGTAACACACTGCATGATGGGAGTGGCTTAAAAACAACAGAAATTTATTATTTTACAGTTCTGGAGGTCAGAAATCCGACACAGTTCTCACCAGGCTATGACCAAGGTGATGGCAAGACTTTATTCCTTCCTGGAGGCTCTACAGGAGAATCCATTCCCTGGCCTTTTCTGGCCTCGGAAGGCTTGCGTTGTTCCTTGCCTCTCACCCGTTTGTCCGTCTTCCAGGCCGGCAGCTTTTGCACCTCTGACCCCTCTTCCACAGTCTCATCTGCCCCTGACCACAGCCCAGAACAGCTCCCTGCTGGAAAGACCCTTGCGATGAGGCTGAGCCCACCGAGGTGGGGGAGATCCAGCATAAGCTCTCCATCTGCAGGTCCCTGACTCACTCACATCCGCAGTGTCCCTCCTGCCGTGTAAGCTGCCATAGCCACAGGCTTCAGGAACTGGGGGGTCAACACCTTCGGGAGACCATTAGTCTTCCTACCACAGAGGATTTTAGGTCCTTTGTGGGAGATATTTTTATGCCAAGGCCCTTCCCATTAATCATGCTGCTCAGTTTCTCCCCACTCTGTAAGATGAGGAGGGAAAGGGAGGGTGTGAATCACACAGAAGGTTGTTCTGTCCAGCACTTGGGTCTTCTTCCCTTGGAGAGGAGACGGGTGCCTTCCACGCAGTGCTGTGGGCTGCCCTGCGCACTTTGGCCTCTGTGTTACTCCTGATCTCTCACGCTGAGCTATGGTGAGTCTAGAGCCACCCTCTCTGGTTCCCAGTTTGGATTCTGAAGTCAAGACATTAGAAGCAGGGCACCTTGGATGTCCTGGTTCCAGTACCAGGACTATTGAGAACAACTTTGTGATCAACTTTTGCTCGGAGCTCATTCCAGAAGTGCCTGCTTGGTTATGTGAAATAAAGGCTATCAGGTCGCTTACTAGTTCATATATATGTATATGTATAATTAATAGTAACTATTAATAATATATAATTGATAGTAATTTCTTATATATATATATTTAACAATAACATATATATAGATGTTTCATATAGAGGTACATTTGTCACTGTATTATAAGGTTTATCTTACTGTAACACTCAAACTTGTGCACATACTGTGTGCTTTATAAACATTGTGCTGTATATGACATATTTAAAACTTAACAGCAACAGAACATTGGAAAGTAGAGGTAAAAATTATAGTCTCCTTTTCTGGCTGGTCATATGTTCTGAACTAGAGCTTTGAGAGAACAAGGGTGACTAATCTATAGCGTTTCCCTGTGGAAGATGCTTCTCTTGTGAGTTTCCTCACATTTAAGTGTGTGACATGACAGTAAGCTTTGTGTTTTGAGGGCTGAATGAATTGTGCAGTAGACCTCAAAGAGAAGACGACATTTAATTCTTGTTCACGTGTCTGTGGGTAAACAAAAGGCCATTTGGGGGGGAACAGGCTTGTATTGTAGGTGCTAATTTTGTGCTTCCCTTTGTTTTGCAGAGTAACCTTAGTGGTCCTGCCTGGTCCTGGTGGATCCTGGCAGTGCTGCCGTTGGAGCGGAAGGCTCAGCTGGCCATGCTCAGCATGATCTCGCTGAAGGAGCGTCTGCTTGCCATTCGGCGAGTATTAGCCATCATCACGCGTAAGATGAATAGTCGGCAAGAGCTGGTTAATAGCCGGGAGAGAAATAATTGATTTTCTCTCTCAGGGTTTCTGGAAGCCCTTGTATTTTTATGAGGAGTTCCAGGCACGGACGAGTAACATCCATCCATCGCGCTTTGTAAAATGCTTGTTGATAGGGTTACAGAATGGAACACTTAGCAAATGTTGACCCCTACTCAAAAGTTGGAAGTCTGTGCCTGGTGGCATCTGACTCTATACAAGGTTAGCCTGAAATTTGAATGGATCCCACTCAAATTTGAATGGATCTTAGGTTGGAAAACAACCTAAGAAAATCTCTCTGAACCAGATGCTTTCGGTGTGTAGTTCACTCACAACAGGGGACAACCCAGATGATTGACGAGTGGTTTAGGTTTTGCAAGAAAGAAGACTCCCTTCCCAGTAAAGTGTTCCCATCAGGCTTTGGAGGGAAATCGTATTTTTATCTGGAAGCATATTTCTCAGAGTACAGGCTAACCAAAAACGCACTTAGGCTTTGTGTGTCACTGTGAAGTTGTCTGTCAAGTGGAGGAATCAAACAGTTGTCTAGTGGCAGGGCTGAAGTTAGTCCTTACCCGAGGAGTAGTACAGAACCGGTTAGAACTGTGTTTTGTGTCCTGCCGTAGTTCAGATGTTGTAAATTGCATGTTTTAATTAAATGAATATCAAAATACAAGAAGGGTACCTTGGATATAGAAAAATCTGAAAACAGTATAGTTGATTTGAGGATATGTACTTAAACACACACACACACAACAAAGAATGAATAAAGGGAGCTAAAACTGTACATGCATTGGGATGTTCAGAATACAACCAAAAGAGTGCAAAGAACCCCTTGGAAACATAACCCTGTCTCATTAATTCAGTGGTTGTGAAGCATGTAGGAGATGTCATCTTTCTACTCAGATTGGCGTTAGAAACTAGGCCCATCAGTAAATTTGAGTTCACCATCTATCCACTAATATATGAAGACATTAAAAAGCTGCTATGAGGGCTTCCCTGGTGGCGCAGTGGTTGAGAGTCCACCTGCCGATGCATGGGACACGGGTTCGTGCCCTGGTCCGGGAAGATCCCACATGCCGCTGAGCCTTCGCGTCCGGAGCCTGTGCTCCGCAGCGGGAGAGGCCACAGCGGCGAGAGGCCTGCGTACCGCAAAAAAAAAAAAAAAAAAAGCAGTGGTATAAATCCCAACCTCTAGTGCATATTGGTGATGTTAATTGGAATAACCATTTGAACCTGAGATACCGAATCGTTCTCGCTGGCGTGACAGCTGGTGCATTTAGTTGGCTTCTTGGTCTGTGAGGTGGATGTTCTTAATGAAGAGATGGTGAGAACCAGACTAGAGAATAAATTACAGCTTTAAGTTTTGCTTTACTTATTCAAGGTATGTGATGTTTTAGTTTTTTTAAATATATTTAATGATACTGAATGTTGGTTTATTAATCCATCAAGCATTTTAATAGAAAGACTTTATAGTTGTATTTGTTTTTACACTGTAGGAGTTTTCAGTAGCTAAAACTCAGTTTCATCATGGGAATGAGCAAACACTATTTTTGTGTAACTTAGAGTCATATAGAGAAAATTTGAATGTATTTTCCAGTCAGAAAATTTGAATGTATTTCCCAGTGCCTCTCATATTGTGAATCTCAAATCTCATTATGGTGTAAAGGCAATTTGGCCAGGTGACTTCTAAAATATTTTATTAATTCATGCATTGAGAATAGTATTCATTACATCCTAACCTGATCATCTAAAAGGAAGCAAAACTGCATCTAGTGTGCCAGAGAACTTTGTTAGAAATGGTTAGTGACAGTGGGTATGCATTGACCATGCTTGGTCTTTCTCTTTTGGAAAAATCTTTTTCTACCTTAAAACCGTATAATTAATTGCTGTTGCCATGTGAGGGTGTCCAAGTAACCACAGTGTGATCATAATTTCTCCGGGAGCCTTCCTGAAATTAAGTTTCTGTGCTCAGAGTGTTAGGGCTTCCCCATAACAATTGGATGCTATTGCTTTCTAAACCTCACTCTTTAAATATCATAACTTGCATAGTTCTTGAATCATTAAGTTATCTCTTCCTGATGCCATCTGCCCCTTTCTGAGTCATCTCCTCATCCTGAGTGTTCTCTCATGAAAGCCTGTTCAACAGTGATGATGCAGACTAGAGCAACAAAAGTTTTTATTCTTTTTGTTTTCTGACAGCAGAGGGAATGGGCTGTGATCCCCTCATGCTCTGTCCAGCATCACATGTCCGCATCCTGCAAAACAGGAGAGGTTGGTGCTTCCTGAGCATTTAGCTTACATTGTTTATCATGAAGTCAAATGAAGGAAACAATAGCCCAAGTCATACTAGGAAGGAAGCTTCCTTTTAGAAAGTTAAAAAAAAAAAAAAGAAAGAAATCCCGACTCCGGTTCACTGTAAATCTAGCTAAAGGAGAGCAGTCCCCTTTCTCCTCCCACTTCCTACCGTTTTTCTGTGATAGAGATGTCACTTCTAAGGATTTCTCCGGAAATAATGTCATCTCTCATTCAAAGAGCATTCCAGTTTAATTTTACTGAACGTGTTCCGACCCTAATGCTCTAGTTACATCAGAATAAAAACAGAATCTATTTAGAGTAATAACAGTGTGGGGAGTAATTTTTCTCCTTTAAATTTAGCACTGGGAGTACAGTATACACTCTGTTAGGTATTTCTCCACTCACTCTCCTAAGTGGCTTGACTCCTAATTCCATCCCTGCTTGTGTCTTTGAAACGCAGCTGACATCCTGACAGGCAGTATTCTGAAAGCCCGGGAGATTTGGCGGGGGGGGGGGGG